GGGGGGGTGGGGGGGGAAATAAAGGTTGCAAAGGGATTAACAGCAAACCAGAGCTTCATTCACAGAGCTGAAAATATCTAGCTGCATCCTCTGGCTAATCCACAAAGCAGGAAAAAAACCCCACACCCATGAAGGCAGAACCACCAAGTGGTTTTGTTTGATTTTACTGAAACATTTTCAGGAAAAAGAGAATATGAAACAAAAGCTGAATCTAATCTGCATCCACTCTAACTAGGTTAGTTGCACAAGCTTTCTGAACACTTTGCTCTACTGCTCTTACTGCGGAGCTGTTGCAACCGTGCCCTGGCACGGGGACGTATTTGGTGTATGATAAAGCAAACAGTCAGATGCTCGGGAAGCAACAGGAACGGGACGGTTTCCTCCAATCAGCTCCATACAAGGATGAGGAACAGAAAACAGACAATGGTTTGCTGGCTCCATGCCTTGGTTGTAAACGCCCTGCGTGCCGTAAACCATAGCGGGCTAGTTTTATCCGAGCCTATGGAGAAACAGTAAGGCTCTTTTGGACTTTTTAGCCAGATTGAGGCTAAAAGGGTAGGAGCAGGGAGTTGGGACACATCCCTAAGGTCCTTTTCACAAAGTTTTGTCTATCTTTAGTATAAAATGCTTCATCCTCTCCCCACAGGATGACTCCCCACGGTAACCCAGTGGGCTGATACCCAGCTTATGCTCCTGTAGAAGAGTCACCAGACCCAGCATCCTCAAAGTGTGAAGTTTCTAGTACCAGATTTTTGGGGGTGTCCTAATTTAGATTTTTTTTTTTTAACCTGTAATCCAAACTCATGGCTTAGCTCCCTGCACTGAGAGTAGTATATGGGCACCTTACCAAGTAAAACTGGGACCGAAGAGCGTGAAAACTTAAGAGCTTGTCAAGTACTAAAACCCTCACATCTGTGGGGTCATTTGGATGTAAAGACAATGGCTGAATTCTGGCTTCGTTTCTCCACCTACACGCTGGCAGAAAACTGGGGCAATGACAGACAAACAACTTCAATCCACTCCCTTATAACAGAAGAGTATTCCCTTATGGCACACAGCCCTAGCTGTTTTCTTAACTGCCTGGCTAAAATATTCCATCATTCCTACTAGACTATTCCCCACAGTTTCAAGGGTATCATTACATTATTGTTACAGTAAATGGGATAATATGGGATGGAAAAGAAATACCAACGTTCTACTCCTGGAAAAAGCTCTGGCAACAAGTCTCTGATGTCCTAGGAACTGTCCAGGTTGTAGTGGGCTGCCTGTTGATGCCACTGTTGCAGGCCGCTGCATCAGAGAAATGCTTCCCAGGTACAGCACCACAGGTTTCAGGTCTAGCAGTACCCGGGCACTCGTGTTTGTACCCTGAAATTTCAGGAAAATTCACTGAGATGCAGTAAGTAATTTTGTTAAGCATTTCTGCAAACCCAGGAAGACAACTCTGCATCCTGTTAATCTCTTTGCAACCACTGGAGGTAGAGACTATGTGAGAGGAAAATAACTCTTTGGTGATAGGTATTTGGTGGAAGAAAAACTGGGCAACCAAATAATGATTTCGTAAGAAAAAAAAAGAAAATCTAGGACCACAATAACACACCTATGGTTCTCTACATCTTCTCAGTTTGCATCTCTACAACCCTTCAAGGACAGCTGCATCAAAATGCTATGCTTTTTTTTTTTAAACAGACAGCTTAAATTTTTCATGTGTGTTTTAAAATGCCCATATGCACCTCAGTACGCGACATACAGGGATACCCAGTGCAGCAGAGGTTAAGAATTCCAGCTCTTAAGTACTGCATTCGAAAGTGCACAGTCATGAATTCATCTTAGTGTAAGAACTCAACACCATTAACTAAAGGTGTTTCATATAATAAAGAGAACCTGCTCTTGCTTTCCATTACTGGAAATGGCTTTCTACTCAGCAGCTATACATTTTTTTTAAAAAAGGTGAAGGAGTCAGTGGCCTGTCATAAGTAGGCTTGGAAGATTTATTATCCGTACAGACCAAGCAAACAGGAAATTACCCTTTTACTAAGAGTGACCTTAACCAAGGAAAGGCCACTTGAGCTGAAAGATCACTTATATTCACTTGGTTTACTTTATGCTGCCCCAAGCATATTTGCAATTAACCACTAAGCACATACTTAACTATGATGTGTTGTTTAGCCAGCAGGTATTTGCAGCCTCTATGGTTTTTAAAAGGGCCACAGTCTTTTCCTTTCCTTCAAAACCTAGAAAAATTACCCTGAAGTTCATCCTAAAAATTTTACCAACCGACACTGAACTCACCTAATTATTGCAAACAACTCCTTTACTTACATTTACCAAGAACCTTAATGCTTAACAAATTCTATAGACAAAAATGTTACCCACCCCTCGATCTTCAATTCACTACACAATTTCAATATTTTCAAGAAGCATTGGCAGGGGAAGACAATGACCTGCCCAACTGTTACAAAGCCAGTAAGACCAATGGCAAAATGCTGTCTAGCTGGTATTAGTCAAGGAGTAAAAGCCCGTTTATGGTAAGGAGAACCTCTCTCTGCCGACAGCACCTGACAAGCTCTACCACACACAATTACCACATGCCATGTTCAATACAGCTACGTTCCTCACTGGATGTTTGACATGATTACGGTGGTGTTCTTTATTTCAAGCTGCTTTGAAATATCCTCCTTGCAATACCTGTTCTCACAAATCTTTAAAAAGACACCAAGTTATTTTTTGGCCAGTTTAATACAAAAAAAATTGTAAAAAATAGATTAGCAAACCCAAAGTCTTTTTCAAACTCCGCAGTCAGGCTGTTTCTCCATGAGTTGCCTTGTCAGTATCTGATACGAAGAGAGAGATGCCACTCCTATGTGAAAGGCTATTTGCCAGAGGTTCCGTAATCCGTACAAGTAAATGTTGCATAAACAAACGGAGAAGAAGAGTACAAATGTCTTCACCTTCCTTGCCGAGCTGTAGAAGAGGTACAAGTAACACTACAAAAGGACCAGAGCGACAGTGTTAGCATTAAACTACGTACATACAGACAAGAGAGACATCTGGCACATCCGTGCTGCTTGGATGTCCTGACTTTGCAGTGGTCACTAAGAAACTCCAGGCTTCCCTTCAACCCCTATGTCGAAAGGTCCTCCGAGCATAGCTGGAGTGGGGATCTCAACCCAGACCCTACTGGGTAAGCACAGATATCAGAAGACTGTCAGCACAGTCTGCGTCCCTCCCTGGATTAAAAACTGAGCCAGCTTTCAAAAACCACCTGTGATTTTTGCAAGACAAAGGCTCAGAAGCAAGGAAACAGCAAATCCAAATCTGCTTCTGCTGTATCTGTTCCTGGTATAAGCAAAGGACTTCATTCTCTAGACCTGACTTTGTAGAGCAAGCATTTCTGTCAACAGGTTTAGCTGGGGTTTGGGCTCTTTTTCCGTTCAAGAGCAGGTGGAACCCATTTGGTAAGCATGTGTGAGGAGCAACAGCCCTTGTAGGAGAAATCTAAAAACCCCGAGTGCTGGCAGAAGAGTTACTTTTTTAACTGCGGCGGTAACGGATCATGCTTTCTCACTTCAGGTCACAGTTTCCAACTGTGCTGATGACACAAGTAGAGATCAGCATGTGTAAAGCACTCCACACTGGAGCTCAATTTATGCAGAAGCATTTTGTGAAGATGACTGCTAGAGATCAGAAGGATGAGAGAACTCTTCTTTATTTAGCCTCTCTAGCTTCAGGTACTAACTGGAAAAAAAGCAGGACAGAGCCTTTCTTTGTGAGGAATGACTTGCATCAAGTATTTAGATCCAAATTAGTATCTCCATCTTAAAGCTCTGCTATGAGCTTTGAGAAGGCGGAACAACACTACATTTTATCTGTTACGATACAATAAATAGGGTCTCTGTGAGTTGTAACTACCATAGATAAATAGAAGTCTTCAGACAGTGGTCCCCAAACCATTAGCCAAATGCAACAGTACTGAGAAATGAATATACTGTCGGCACGATGTTATTCCTCCTGTCAACCAGTTACTCAACTACTGTAGCTTCCTGCAATGACAGGTAAAAAATTGACGATTTTGCCACCAACACATTGCCTTCAAGTTAAAGGTTTTGGACCACTGGTTTAGGCATTTAAGGAACCTTTGAAGAACCATGCGTTTGGAGCATATGATATTTTCCTCATTCAAACTCTTTTGAGGTCAGAGAAAATACTCCACTGGGGGGTGGGGGGATGAATCTAAGGAAGTCAGGAACCACACCTGTCTCCAGAATTTGATTAGTCTTTCAAGGCAGTCATGCTACAAAAGCCCACCACTAAGCCTACCACTGTCAGAAAGGCATCATGTCTACCCCTTTGAGAAGCAAAACAACTTTGGGCTGACACTGTATTCAACCCAATTTGGCATGTCAAAATGTAAAAGGACTGAAAAGCTTGCAATTGCATTTTGCCAAAGGGCAAAATGTGCCTTTAACTGTATTTGTGCCACTTCACTGGAATACCTCAGTGGAATCACCTAAATAGGATACTATTCCTCTGCTGTTCCTCTGCTTTGCTAAGAATTATTTTACCTCGTATATTATAACATAAAAATAATCAGAAAGCATTTTATTTACAGTTAACATACCTGAAAAACACAGGCTAGAAAAGGTAGAAAAAAAGCTATCACATTTCCAATTCCTTCATGGTCCTCCTGTTTGGATTAAAAGAAGTGACAAACGTCGTCAGCTACAGTTTTTAGCAAGTACAGCTTGATATTTTAGAACACTGTATCGCATCAAGTATGTCTCATCCCAGTTTATGTTGATTGACTGTAACAGCACCAAACAGCAAGATCAGTATCACTGAAGAAGATACCAAGACCTGAGGCTTATGTCACAATTCCTGCTCAATAAAACTGCCACCATACAAGCAGGACCCTTATTTTTAATTATAAATAGTTACACTTAATTTTTAATTATAAATAGTGTATACACTTTCACGTTTGCTTAAAAAGAATTACACAAAATCATCTAGAACAAAATCCAAGAATAGAAAAAAAAATAATCCAGCCAGCCTGGCAAGACTAAAATATTTCTCCAAATTTTCGTCTCCCTAGAAATGGATAAAATGCAACGTGGTGCAATATATAACAAAGCACATGAGGTTTAGCAGGTGAGCAATCAACTGTACATTCCCCAGACAATAAAAAGACCAACCAACACTTCTTATGGGAAGACGAGTGTTCTGCTGAGAAGCAGAACAGCCACCCTTAACCTGGTTACCCAAATAACTCTTCTTCTGAGTTATTTTCAGGTTTCAGTTCAATCAGGGTTACCTGAAATGAATACTCAGCTAGGTGAACTCCTCGAATGAGATTCAAAGCTCCACACATGATGTTCAGAACAAGCGACAGAATCCCCAGGGGAGTCACACGCTGCATTCTGTAAGTAGGGACTTAAAAAAAAAAAAGGCATTAGTGCAAGTTTGCACTATTACTTTGAACCTTTTATGTTAAAAACAACTCAAATAGGCTTACACAGGTTTGAAATATTTTCAAAACTTTTCACACTTGCTCCAGAGAAGACCAATTATGAACAGAAAAACCTTTTTTTGGGGGTGCCTTACACTGTTCAGTTCTTCAGACATCTAGCAATCAGCAAGAGCTCTGGAGCATTTTTTAAACAAATTAAGCAATAGAATTTGTTTCTGAGCTTTGGCATTTATGTCTTCTTTCATGCTGCACGTAGCTATTTTTCAACTGTTCATTACAGTAGATTAGCATACTTAACACCCTTCACAGGTGAGTAGAAAAACTAGGTGCTTTAAGTAACCAAAGGTCTGGGAAAGAACTTAGGTTTCTGACACCCATAAAGGAAGACAGCAATTCACCTCTTCCTCTACTGGTATTTATGTATTTCTTGCTACTGGCAGTTTGAGGGTTCAGTCTGGTATACAGCAATTTCATTTCACCTGCACAGTTTCCACCCAGCATTTGCTGCCCTGATCAAGCAGTTCCTGGAATACAGCTGCAGGAGCTAAGGACTCTGCTGCTAGAGTAGTTGTTGTAGGGAGCTGTCAGGATGAATCGACCCAGTCACAGCAGGGAAACATCTATCACAGGACTGCTGCTGTTACCTCCGGGCCTCTCAGACTGACAAAACCATCATGGTCAAAACTGGCAGCTAGGAATTAAACCAGCTTTTGACCCACATTTTACAGTGCATTACGACTCCTTTCCTCCCAGCCAGACAATGTTTCGCAGGTAGTGAATTATCTGTCTCCTTCCTTGCCAACCTTCTCACTACTACTTAACATCCACCCCCCCAAATAGTATTTCTTCAAGATGATCTAATTGATGCCTATCTAATTAAGGTCAAAGCAGTTATTATAAATGCATATTTAACTTTGGAATCTGCCGCTTCTAATTCAGGGGTTTGGTTGTCCAAAAGCTCAGCTGGTGTTTTTCCCCAGCTATGCCAGCTAGCCCTACAGCAGAGAGCACACCTAGATACTCACCTACATTTCATCCCTGCCCTCGGAGCACCACAAGTAGAACACCATCAGCATAACAATAAGAAGGGCAATTTGCAGCTCAGATACCAAACCCAGATCCTCCCTCCTGCACCAACATCCATAAGACACAGGAGAGAATGAACGAGCCTTCAAGAAGTCTCTCCTGCTCTTTGGATCTTCTGCCTCCTGCCCAGATGCAGCCAGCTCCTGACTACTGCAGCTAACTAAGGAACAGAGCACACATCATCTCTGCTTGGTTTCAGTGACAGATGAAACACTGGAACAGCTTAAATATCGCAGTACTGCATGTTTTAAGATAGGAAAAAACTTAACGTCTTCTCCTTCAAGAGATATTTTGGTAGATGGATGTAAAAAAGTTGTTGTCAAATTAATACAGAGCTATAAAGTATCTTTTGTAAGTGACTATGTAATTAATTTGTCTGGCATGCATTCATACTCCCGTAATTTCATCTCCAAAGCAGCTGCAAAAGGAACTGCATTAATCCCATTGGATGTATGTCACATTATGTAGCATTACTGTGTATTATCACCATACACACGTTCCTGTACATAAATGGGGAAGTAGCCCTACCAGCCAAAGGCAATTTTACATCTTTGCTACACGGTGAAATTTAAGGTCCAAACAACGCGCTGAAGAGAAGCTGTACCAGCATGTTTGTTCATTCACTGAGTACTCAGTTTCCTATTATTTTTTATAAATTAAATAATGTTGCAGCTATGTATCTCTCTCTCTCAAGGAAATCTCCTAATAAAGGCTATTGTTTCTTCTTCCTCAGTTTCTAAGGTGTACCTCAGAGGCACACTGTCCCTCAAACAACGCAAAATTATCCAGCACAAGTGTCATTCATGGTACAGGATCTTCCAAACTGTACATGCCAAGAGCTCCCAGTCCCCAGGGAAGAACCACACAAGTCCTAATATACTGCTTCTGCAGCACGGAGTATTATCTAAAAGCCACTTTTTTTTTGGTCCAGTACAAAGAAATCATAAAGATAAAAAGAATTGCCATCACAAATGCACGGGAGATCACGAGATTACAACATCCAGCTGCTCAGGGTTCAGTTCCTGTGAAAACTGAGCTTTAAATTGTTAGTTGTGGAGCTTTCTGTTCTATCATCCTGAGGTTTAATTCACAAACTGAAATTGTACAGAACAAGTGAGATGGGTACTGATAGGGAGAAATTACTACACTTCTTGTGTGAATGAAATCTTATTTTTATAAATAGAATTTCATACTAGAATTTCTTATTACATTAAATAAAGGGAAAAAGAGAGTACAAGCACTCTTAGTCCAAGACAGCCCTACTTTGCACAAGCACAATTAAATGCTATTTGGATTTCAAACTGATTTGACTCTTTAAGTAGAAAGATTGTGCACTTCAGAGTAAAAGAACCACACAAGATATTCTGTGGATTATCTAGCATCCAGGGGAAATGTCTCTGCAGGTTTGAACATGTACAGAACATGTGAAAACACCCTGACACAATGAAGAAATTGAAACTTCTGCCTATAAAAGATTCTGTGAGCAGAGGCCTCTGGCTATGCAACTGCAGACTGACATGAATGCCTGCACCATGCTCCATTCTCCCTCTTCACGGCAGAGCACAACAAGGATTTGACAATGAGTCACAAACTCAAAGCTCCAGATAAAGACGGCACTAGGAGTGAAAAATGAAATCAGACTCAAACATTTTAAAATAAAATACAAGCAGACAAAAGACAGATGTGAGACATCTTCAAAAAACACTTTAAAAAGGACTCTGAAGGACTCCCTGCGTGCCTACAAAACACGAAGAACATTCATGAGGAGAGCACAATGCTGCATAATTTAACAGCTTGCTTACTAGAGGAATAGCACAAGTTCTCCTGCTTCACAGAGCCAGTTCTGATGTGCAAACTCTCCCTCTTCACTGAAAACTTACACTTCACATTTCTCCTGCATACATGCCCCGCTGCCCTCCACAGCTTTATCAGCTGTGCCCATATCAAGACACAAGGTGAGGCTTTTGCAACAACAGCGGAGGGTGTGTAGCTGTTGATCAAGGGTACCACCCTAGTGCCTTTCTAGCAAGAACTGGGCTAGGCTTAGTTAAGAAGGAGGAACAAACAGAAGAATGAATGAAAGAAAAAAAGAAAAGGCAAAGAAAAAAAGCTGTTGTTGCCATATATACCAACAAGGACTAAACTGCCCCAACTTCTCAGACTCCTTTCACACTAAAATGAAGAGCCAGGGGCTGTGATCACACAGCTCAAAAGAAGACAGGAACCAGCTACACCCACGTAAGGAGACTGATGTTTTGATCAATCCTTTGATTGATCTTTCACTAAAGAATGTAGAGACAATTAAATTCTGCTCTCCTGCAACTATAACACTTCAGTGTATGCCCCTGTACAGCTGAGCCATAAGATAAGTAACATTAATTTGGGAACAACACTATCCACACAGCTAAACTTAGAGCAGCAGAGTGGGATTCAGCTGGTAAGTAACGATGAGCAGAGAGAGACATAAGCCAGGAAAGCTGACTCCAGCTGAGGGAAACAGATGATCATAAACATGATCCTTAAAATAAAGGAACAATCTGTAGGAGTATTTGGGTTAGACCAGAGAGAACAGCCTGAAATACAAAGCCAGATGGGAAGTAAAAGAAAGCAATTAAGAATATAGAAGGACTGAAAATCTATTTCTGATCTGTGGACACAGACTAGCTTGCAAATGTTTACTGCCACTGAAACTGTTCCCACTAGTGTGAGGAATTTCTAAACCCTGTCACATCATGAAAATATTTAACCTGCAAGCACAGTTTTGAGGAGTACTCACAAATCTGACTGGCAAATAAAGTGTTTTCAATTCTGTTTTTAGTTCCTCCTGGCCACTGCCCCTCTGTATTTTAACTTAAAATACCTACGTCAAATTAGATTACAGCTCATCTATCAGAAACAATTAGACTGAGCAACTGAAACTTAACTTTATTAGTGTTTCATAAGCCAAAACCAACAAAAACAGAGGAAATACAAGCTCATGACACCCCAGCTGCATTTAAACCAGCATGCTAATAGGATTAAAACAGAGACCTGTTTTAGCGATGGACTTGGCAGCATTAAGTTTATGGTTGGACTTGATTTTAATGGTCTTTTCCAACCTAAATGATTCTATGATGACCTATGAACATAGGCAGGACTTTGACTATGCAACTGAAACACAAGTAAGAAGATACCTATTTTAAAATAGAGGTTAGTACTTCTAAAAGCAGGTAAAATGTCAGTATTCATTACAAAAGGTCCCTTGTCAGGTCTCTATTTGTTGTTTATACAGATACACACATCCTCTTTCAGAATTTTAGTCAAATGCATTAAATTTCAAAGAATAAGGAAAAGGAAGAAAGCAGAGAAGGGAGAGCAACCCCAGACAGACAGTCTGGGAATCAAGGTTTTACTCTCAGCCCATATTCTTCTCACCCTTTCTTTCCTCAAGGCTGCATCAACTCATTCAGACTGTAATTCCATATCTTCTACTGAAGTCTGCAACACGCGATGACTTAGCTGCATTTCTTTTGTCACAGAAAATTTAACCAACGACTACTTTAAAAGTAGGAGAATTTACCATGGAAAATGTCAAGCCCAGTTACAACCAATTGTCCATGAACAGAAGCTGATCTAGGGCTGGAAAAAAAGACACTACCACAAGTCCTTAAAGGCTCTGATGCATACCTGCTACAATCTAAAGACCATATGTTGTTTACTATGACAGAAAAGCAGTCTTGTTCTCTGGGGTCTCAAGCACATGGCCTATATATTTTGCAGTCCAAAAGGAACCACTGCTGTTACACAGTTTCCTGTCGTTTGCCAAGTTAGGTTCAGGCAGCCTTCTGTCACCTGCGCGTAGGAGTAACTTACCAACCTCCACATGAACGCCTGCATGCCCCCCATTAGTCACCCCGTTCATCAGCTCTGCATCCTCCAGTTTCAGCTGAACCGGGGGCTGGAACTTCAGCTCCTCCTCAATCTTCTCCCAGTTGGCCTTCGTTTGAGTGCCACTTGCACGGTTAAAATGGCATTTCACTTTCTGAATAATGTTATCTGAAACAATATAAAAACAGGCTTCAGTTAGCTCTGCAACAATGAAGTGCTTTAGGTAATTATTAATTACATCATGCCATTATTTTTTTGATTGTTTTTCATTTCTTCCTCCATTTCTTTTATTATTAGTTTCAGGTATAAAATTCCATCGCTTGTTAGGGAACAAAAATGTCCCTCCTAGGTATTTTATATCACGCCCATTCCCTTCTGGATACTTTCAGTCTCAACATCCTGCCTGTCAGTGGACTGGCTTTCACATTCCAGTGTAGATGTTAGCACATATTCTAAACTACCCATGAACTGCCATGAGAAGCAACTCCACGCTATGTCTTAACAATGTCAAGGATTAGTTTTTTCCCAGTACAGAGGTAAATTAATTCAATCTGTATTTGAGTGATGAAGCATCTCTGACTGGCAGAGGCCACAGTACCACCCTGCTTCAACTCTTTAAACTGAATACCATTGGCAAGCAAATCCCTTGCCATAGATGCAGCCACTGCCTTGACAAGAGCTGCACTGAGACTAAGCAGAGAATTGCTCCGAGTACGAACTGTTTACACCTCCAGAGCTGAAGTGAGGAAACCCTTCTTCACTGTATGGGTGACAGAGCACTGAACAGGCTGCCCAGAGAGGGGGGGGAGACTTTCCAAAGCCCCCGGACTGGTTCCTGTGTGATCTGCTCTAGGGGATCCTGCTGTGGCAGGGGGTTGGACTAGATGATCTCTAGAGGTCCCTTCCAACCCCTACCACCCTGTGAAGTACCTCACTATGGATATTGTTACTTCCTATTTAAGTGTGCAAAGATACCAGCAAATTCCAGCTATTTCAAATGCTTAGGGAAATAAAACGCAGAAATATTTATTTTGCTAAGATATCGTATAAGGAACAATCCATATCCTTAAGATATTGTTACGCTAGAAAACTTGCACAGTTTGACCACAGCTACTGCTGGATACAATACCTACGTAATAGCTTAAGCACGAGGTTTGTGACCACGCAGGAGGACTTTATGTTGTGCTGTAATACACAGTGCCATAAGCATTCCTGAGTGAAAAGTCCTGGATTTTACCTTAAGTCAGCCTGCTACAATTGTAGCTAGCAGACAAAAAGCTAAGATCTCAGGCCACAAGTGCATCTTAGAACCAAACACTGGAGGGGTAGGGGAGGGGAATCAAATAATCAAATCATACAGGAACATTAGGGGGACTAAATAACTAAAATACACTATAATAGTAAAAATAAACCTTAAAAAAAATTTTTTTTTTCTTTAAAAAGAGCCTTATGCAATTGAAAGAGGCTAGAAATTCCCAAATTCCTACTCAAGTTAAAAAAAAGGAGTAATTTGGATCTCAGTATAAAATGACATCATGCCTGGAACAAGCCCTGCAAGGAATCCACCCAAAATACAAGATGGTTGTGCAACATGCTCACCTTGTGGATTTCTCAATCTTTTAAGCACGAGCTTAACACCATTAACGAAACCTGGAAGAAGTGTGCTAACCCACTGCAGTATCTTATCCTTTCCCAGGAAAAGGTTTCTCACTGCAAGGGAATTGTGTTTTTCAAAGGTGCGAGATTCAGTAGAGCAGCTGCTACTTGGCAAGAAAATCCTTTAGATCAGGTTAAAAAAGAAATGCTAGGCATGATTATGAAGTGTTGTGTGAATCTAAGTCATGCCAGACATAAAGCTGCCCATAATAATCTATTGTCTCCCTTTTTTCCTGTACCCATCTGTCTCTACTTGTCAGATTGCTTTTAATTAAGTTAGAAAAGGTTTGAGATGTGGATTTGTTTTTCTTCTGTGCTTGTTTATTAATCACCACAGCTTTTTGTTTATCTATTAAAGGGGCAAACCCAACAATCTAACAGTTGAAGGCTGTTACAAGATCTCCCCCTCCTCCTACGTACGTATGCAAAGGCACACACAGAGATTCATTTTTACGGTCAGGCTTTGGCCAGGAGTTGTTTAACATCATAAATGTAGCAGACACAGTATTCTTACTATTAGAGAACAAAGTTACAAACCAAATTCAATAAAGGCATATGGTCTGGAAGCCAAACTGACAGTTGTTGTATCGTAGGAAGCAGCAAATTCCCACTGAAGCTCTTCTAGGAAGCAAAACGCCATGATGGTTGAGTAATTGCTGGAACAGATTGCCATGCAGGCAATATCCCCAGAAGAAAGAAAACTGAAATAGAAAAGAAAAAAAAGAAATAAAATGTAACATCAACAGAAAAAGGTGAAAGAGTCATGCTGAACATGAGCAGTAAACTGTGCTTTCTGTCAAAACAAAGTGTACAGACTGCACTGAAAGAGCAGACTGCAAAAAACATTGTTCACTGCTGTAATAGCCCTGCAGACCCAGTAGGTCCAACCCTTACTCTTAACTCAGTATGCCTCAGCATACCTACAATCACAATACAGATTTTAGTAAATTGCTACATCAGTATAAACTGAGGACATTGTTTTCTTATTAACATGATTTAAAGCCAAACTAGGAAAAGAGATGGCCAGAAAACATCACAGGCAAGAAGGTTTTGCAAGAAAACACAGTGGCTTCCCACAAACAAAAGTAAAAACAAGCCAGTGTGTTCACAGGAAGCAAGCAGATGTACTCCTTGCTCCCCTTGAATACCACAACTTCCTATTAACAGCAAGAGACATTTGTTAACTTGCACAAACCAAGATATTCAAACACTGTTATTGCTAACTCATCTGGAGCAAATAAAGATCAGTTTGTATCGGAAACAGCACAGTAAAAATTCTACACCAGGAGGGGTCCCTCTACACTGAAGCCATATTTATGCAGAAATTTCCACTTACAGATTGCCCCAAAACCTTCTAGGAAACTTAACAGGGGATTCATCTGCCCAAAACCTAGGTGTGTACTGTGAGAAACCACTCTCACCTAGGCTTCATTAAGATGGGAGTCAGGGCACCTAGTTCAGATGTCAGCACTCAAAGTAGACAGCTAAACTTCCACAACTCCCACCACGATTACATATTTGTAGCTATGAAAATTTCCCTTACAGGTTAGCCATCTGTCAGCAGTAATTCTATGGATCATAGAATCACAGAATGGTTTGGATTGGAAGGGACCTTAAAGGTCATCCAGTCCCATCTCCCTGAGACCCTCCACTAGATCAGGTTGCTCAAAGCCTTTCAGTATAAAACCACAGTTTTGAAGCTGAACAGCTTCCCTCTGTATTTTCTCTCTTTTCTACTAATCACATATTTCCTCCTTCTCATACAGAAATACTCGTGGCTTGTATTTTGTTCTATTTTTATTCATTCATGATAGCACATAGTTGGGATTTATGGTTTTGATTAGCTGTGTGACAGCATAGTTACAGGGGGTAGGTTCCCTAAATCTGTTTCGTGCCCAGCTCACAGCTGAGGCTCAACACCAGGCCTGTGTAAAACTACCTTTTCCAGGCTGTCAATAATTTATAGCCTTTCTGCCACGTCTCCGTTTGCACTCTTCTCATTTCAGAGCCAGATGCACAGCTACTTCTGTAGCAACTACAGAAGACTGAAAGCAGAACTTGTTAGCTTTAAAGGGCACAAGTGCACTTTGACGGAAAAGGAAGTAAAATGCTAATCTCTGCTTTTCCAGCTGATTGAGTGTAAGCTCATGTATCTTCTTTCTCCAACCCCTCTCCCAAAAAGAGATACTTAGCTTTAGCTCAGGGGCACTTCAAGTTTTCTTACATTTGCTAATCAGAAATGCAATCACAAGCTAAAACACATTTTTAGAACTAAGCTAAAATCAATAGTAAATGAAAATTCTCATCTCCAAATAAAACACTAACTTCTTACAATAAAAAGCAGCAGATCCGTCTCCAATAAATAAAAGCAAGGATTTATAATTTCTCCACACTGGCTGTTATCAGTATGCTTCAGGCCTCCTCAATAGACACCCATCAGTCAGAGCTGCTAGAGACCGAAACCCTGCTGGTATTCAGAAAATGGAGTGGGCAGCACATAGGAAGGAATCAGGGCAGTTCTGTGCAAGCCGGAATCAGAGCTGTACAGGCCTGAGAGAAGGCATCAGCAAGCCTCGACAGTCACTGCAGAAAAGGGTTTGGGGTTTAGACTAAACTAAGTAATTCCTAGGCACTAGGATGCCCTCTCAGAAGGTGTCTGTAGAAGTCCAAGATACTCTATCTGTTAACAGTATCAAGAACTGACCATCGAGCATAAAGTATTTGCTACAAAAAATTAAAATTAAAATAAGCAATTCCTAACATAGAATCACCACAGAATGGTTTGGGCTGGAAGGGACCTCAAAAAACACCTAGTTCCAAACCCCTTACCATGGGCAGGGACTCCTTCCACTAGAAGAGGTTGCTTTAAGCCTCATCCAGCCTGGCCTTGAACACTTCCAGGGATGGGGCATCCACAACTTCTCTGGGCAACCTGTCCCAGTGCTTCACCCCCCTCTCCGGGAAGAACTTCTTCCTGATATCCAATCTAACCCTCCCCACTTTCAATTTAAACCTGTTACCCCTTGTCCTGTCACTACAGTAAAAAGTCCCCTCCCAGCTTTCTTGTAGCCCCTTCAAGTACTGGAAGGTCCTGTAAGGTCCCCCCGGAGCCTTCCCTCCTCCAGGCTGAACAAGCCCAACTCTCCCAGCCTGTCCCCATGGCGGAGCGGCTCCAGCCCTCGGAGCATCTTCGTGGCCTCCTTTGGACTCACTCCAACACTTCCATATCTACCTGCTGTTGATGGCCCCAGAGTTGGATGCAGAACTGCAGGGGGAAATGTCCCCAGAGCAGAGGGGCAGAATCCCCTCCCTCGACCTGCTGGCCACACTTCTCCTGATACAGCCCAGGATACGGTTGGCTTTCTGGGCTGCCAGGGCACACTGCCGGCTCATGCCCAGCTTTTCATCCCCCAGTACCCCCAAGTCCTTCTCCTCAGGGCTGCTCTCCAGATATTACATCAAGCCAACATACACTTACTAAAGTGAGTAGGAGCTGTGGCTGTGGTGCTGAGAAATAAGATTACAAAATATTGCTTGGAGGCCATGCATGGGGGGATTTCAGATTGGAGTTAGGCACTGTAGAATATACCTGACGTTCAACTAATGCCCAGGACAATCATTTCAAAAACTTAAAGTCAAAACCAACCAAACAAAAGCAGGGACTTACTGTATGCTAAGGTCACGTCCTTTTGCTGTGCCTCGACTTGGATACTGCGCCAGAATTGAGGATAACGCCTTTAATCTCTTTCTGCATTCCAGAAAGTCCTGGTTGAAATGAAAATCTGTGGAGGCTGAGAGGGGAAGTCCATCCCTCACCCGCACCACACAAGCAAAGAAGATCATGGACATTCTCCACTGGAGTACTCATGAGGACAACCTGAAAATGAAATACTAAGTTAGGTCAATGGCACATTACGATATTAGTTACTTACAATCCAACATGCTAGACAGAAATATGTCAAGGTAGAAGTTTATTCACCACTGCCTTTCAGTGCAGGTACTGTTCAGTAGTAATCAAACTTTTCTCAAAGGCTTTGTCTGCTTTTTGCCTCTCTTACATGAAAAGGTGAGGCAGGGAATTTGACAGGAGAATTATCTACCTGAAAAATATCCTTGTTTTCCCTCCTTTTGTTTTACCTCAAGCATCAGAAATGCCAAGTCTAGCTCTTAAAGGTAATTATAGAACCTGGCTAACTCACACTGACAGGCTGCATCTTCACTAGTGTGGCAAATAGTTGCACTGGAGTTGCAGTTATCTGATCTTCTAGTCTAACATACAAATACAGAAGTTAAGTTTTAGGCTACAGCCTGTCAGGCTCTTTTTACAGAATCAACTAGGACCAAACACAGAATAGAAGCTGCCCTCCCTTGACTTCTTACTCTAACAGTCTCCCATGAAAAGCCTTTATTGGGATTTACCTGGTATGTTCAGAACACACAAGAGATCTGTCCTTCAGACATACCATGAGTATTCAGTCCAAGATGACAGAAGACTAATGCAGCAGCTCACATTATCTCTGAAAGATAGACACAATGAACATTTTAGAAAACTAACCAATGACCTATATGTATATACATCTTCACAGTGTAGTCTCCTGTGCAGTGGGTAAACATATCCTAGCAGTTATTTTACCTAAAGGAAAACAAACAACTCATTTTCCTATCCAATATATCAATTCCTAGGTGCAATCAAAGATGCTACGAAAGGATATGCAAAATATTTCTGATGTCCCAATTGGTTACCCTAGCTTCCTGTAAAAGAGCAGCTCGGGATCAGACAACTTTAAATAATTATCATGAACAAGTCAAGGAAAAAAAAAAAAGGAAAAGAAAAAAAAAAAGAGGCAGGCGTTTACTCTGCTTCAGGCAAACTATATAAATGAAGGACTGGGGAGGGGGAAATCACACTGAATTCAAACCTTTGATAGAGGGGTGACTGTTTTAAACAGCCCTGTATCAAACAATTCATTACGAAGCTCAAAGTTTCTTTGACGTGTCTCATCACCAAGTGTTTTTCTTGTCTAAGGTAAGAGAGCAAAGCCTCTCCTAGTTAAGGCATTCATAAACTCCCTCGCCTGTAGAGCTGCTCTAATGTCTAATAAGCGCCGAGTCCTTAATCCACAAGAGGCACTAAGAGGGTCTTGTTTCTGCTCCACAGGAATCATTTCCACATAACCTGTAAGAACTATCCCTCTGTCAAAGGTGGCTGCAATCTGCCAGCATATTAAAGCAACTAACAATTGTCAGAGGAATTGACAGAAAGCATAATTGCACATAGCATGCTTCCTTAGAAAAGGAAATGGAAACTACAGAAGATTGCACATCACTGGAAAAGTGGTATTCTGAGCTTACAAAATAGATTAAAGAAGAATTAGATGTTAATTTCTTTTCACTATCCCTCTCACAGTTCTTCTCCAATAGTAATTTGAGTTGTAAAATCAAACTAAGCTCACTAACTTCATTTCAGCATGCATCAAGAAGAATTTCAACAATAATCAAGATTATTATATGGCAACTTGAAACATTATATCGATCTTCAATGTGTTATGCTGGTAGCCATGAAAGAAACAGTGCAGAAAACTGCTGAAACTTTTATGTCAAAGTGAAGTGAAAACAAAAAAGAAAATTGCCAACTTGGAAATATTAACTTCAACACAGCCAACTTTTAAGTACGGTTGCTCAGAACAGCACAGTTTTATGGTCAATGGCTGGTAATGCCAACGAAGTCTAACTCCAAAATATCCCACTTGACAGAGACAGCAGAGGCAATACATTGAATGCTCTGATTTTCCTTTCAGAAACAGAAGATGACCAGGAAAATGGAAAGGCACCAAACTAAAAAAACCAAGACATTTTCTAAAATATATCTAGCCTATGGAATGACTCAGCTCACTATGCCACTGTATATATTCATCACTATTCATCACATAGCATCACCTATGGTCAACCAACTGTCCATATGAAGGTATCCAGCTTTCCAAGGCATACAAACAGTTGTGCTTCAGGGCATAAGGTTTTCACTAAACATCAGCATCCCCAACAGAAGGAGAGGTTGGTGCAGTGACTCTAACCTTAGCAGAGAGCAGGTGAGCACAACCTCAGGGCACAACAACTGGAAACGCATTCACTCCCATTTACACAGTCTAAAGGGACGTTTGTGTAGATAACACCCTTCTCCCCAACACAGCAAAAATGTGTGAGATTTGAGAACAGGACCTGTAAAGACTTCTGAGGAGTTAAAACATATATACATGTACACTTTTTTTTCCATAATTCAGGGGTTTATTTCAAATGTGGCACAGACTTAGCTAAAAGAGGTGAGAGCCAACATCACCTCACAGAAGGCGGCAAAGCCTAAAAATAAATTTATGCAACTGGTTCACCTGTCCTTCTCTGTAACTCTTATCACCAACCACCTAACACTCAAACACATCTAGCCCTCTTTCTCCACACTCCCCCAGGCCACCTATGCCGGCACTGCACCTCAGTGAGGCTTTGGGTTTTCTTTTCCCTTTTTCACAAGCCTCGCATTACTCACATATCAGGAAGTGTTATGCGTCCATGGCAAATAACAGTAACTAATGTCACTTCCCTTAAAAGTTTAATTACTTGCAAGCCAATTTTGCCATGTCACCTCTAAGTGAACACATACTATCACAACTCATTGGACTGATCAAAGTGTGCACATAACCAAGCAAATCTATGATCTTGCTATTTCAAGATCATAGGACCTTGGAGGAGGACCTACCCTTTCCTCCTCCAGCCTTCTTCTATTTGCATATGATTAGCAGCCCAAAGTATCTGCAACTGACTTTACGTGGCAGGCCTTTGAACTCGACTCCGGAGCTTGGACAACGCACTTGTGTCTTTTGATTAGGCAGATATCAAACCTCGTAGTATTCAGAATTAGTAACAGCTATTTTACTGGCACAAAGCAGGCAAAACTTGGAGAAATTATCTAAGTGACTATTTCAGAAGAATAAGTTACAACTTCTGACTGAAGTAAACAAAGCCTGGTGTTTTTATTATTTGAAGCACCTGTACATCCAACCCTTCAGAAGAAAACTCTTTAGTGTACGACTCACATAAAACTGGTAAATACGTACTATTCCTAACAAATGACTCTTCAGGGAATTCCCACAGCTGACATCCAAGAGGTTGTCTGAAAGGCAGTTCCTCCATCCCTCGTTTCCCAAGCAGCGGCCAACTCTCCCCGCTGCCTAGGCAGGGATTATTAAGGCAGCCTTAATCAGACCTCTAACACTTTACTACACTGTTACGCAAGTTCCTTCATGTAAGAAGATTAGAGCCAATTCACAAGCACCACATTCCTCCAAACGCTAGACAAACTCCTACCTTACTGTCTGTAATTAGAAAACAATCTACTCAAAAGGCTATGAAAGCAAATGCAAACCAGTATGTAGTTCATGGAGAGAATTCTTTTAAAAGCACTGTTCTTAAAGAAGTTATTTTATCTGACCATCAAAAGCAGGAGTTTTGTTCTAAGAATGGCATAATGCTACCAGGATCTCTCAAGCACTCATCTTCTCTCCCTTTTCAGAGCCACATTTCCCTTCTTTCTAGAGGAGACACATGGGACAGTTCCAACAAAACATCCAACGACCTTGTCAAGTTCTGATCTTCCTACTGAAGGAAGAGTAGAAAGCTTTAGTGACTGTTACCACAGTCCAGGAGGCTCCTGAAGCAGTCTGTGAAGTTTTATGGACACGTGATAGCTTGATATGTTATCATAACTACTGGACCTAATGCATCTTTCCTCAGGCGGGTAAACTTCAGCAGGGTCACAAACAGATAGAGGTGGGATGCCAGAATACAAGAGATTCAGGTTGACTCAGTCAAACACAAAACATTTAATAATGCTGCAGCTGAAGTGCTGGTTTCAGTCTCAACCAACAGGAAAAGGTATTGAGACATGGTTTATGAAGGAGAGCTACTACTTCTCTGCAGGATCACAGGGAGATTTTATCCTCTTCTCACACAGATAAAAAGGCACATCTGAAATGCTGTTAAATTATTTGTCTTCTAAGATTGCAGTAACTGTATCCATCTGCTTCCTCTCAACTGCTCTCTCTCGATGCTCACAGCAGTGCTGACCAAGCTCCTGATATCACAGACCTACAGCGCAACAAGAGCCACTCTCCAGCTGTAGCAGTGAATAAACACAGTTTGAAAGCATGATGCTATCCCAACTTCCGAAACAGGATTTGTGGATATCAAGAGCTTACAGGCTCCTATAAACCCTACAGGCTTTATTCTTAGGCCCAAAGGGTAGCATGTGGAAAACCCTCGCTACCACAAATCTCTCTACACACACTCATGAATTACCACAAATAACGCGTGTTACACAAAATTCAAACCCCAACATTCAGATCACCCATCAACCGCACTGCCTCCATGGAAAGTCCTCCTGGCCCTTGCCCAAACCACACCCTAACAACTCTGTAAGGCTCTGAAGCTTTCCCTCTACATCTACCCCTCAGAAACATCAGCCACCTTATCTGCTCCCAAACACACACCCACTCCCACCAACATGTATCCTCCTAAGAGCCCACCAGCTCATGCCCATACCTTCACCAGCCCAAATAACGACCCTTCCCATGCCCATCCTGTTACACTCACCATATTAAACATGCCTAATCCCTATTCACCTCTTCTCCCCAACATTGTGTCCCCAAACCCCCAAAAGCACCCACTTCCTCAGACCCTTCAATAAACCCAGACACCCTGAAAGCCACTCCCCTTACCAGGGCACTCTTTCGTAGCAAAGACTTCCCATACACTGCTCAAGCACCCAGACACCCCAAAAGCTTACTCCCATTCCACAGGTCCCAAATCCTCACGTTATCCCCGCTCCCTTCAACACATCCCCAACCCAAGCCCTCCTCAGAGTCCCAAGTCCTCCTCCCTACACCCCTCGAGCACTCCAGGGACACCGCAAATCCCACACCCATACGCCAGGATCCTCACCCCAACACACACATCACCTGCTCACTCCCAGCCCATACCCCAAGACCCCAATTCCCCTCGTCGCCTCCCCAAGTACCCTAAACCCCACTTCCCTGCCAGAAGACCCCACGCCCGCACACTACCCTGTTCAGCCCGGGCCCAGCCCACCCCACC